CAAGTGCCCATAAACAAACAGTACTGAGATTAGAGAACATATTTTAACATCAAATTAAATTAAACTCAGTATTATAATGAATAAAATCAAATAAAATTATAACAAATAAAAACTAATGTTATACAAGGCAAAAGGTGTTTCCATCATGCGAAACGACCGCTGCTGACGCATCTGACTGACATCTCGTTCTTATGTTGCACTGCGTAAAATAATACAATTTACAGAAATCTTGAATCAGAAATTTTGAATATCAGATGATAACTGATTTGGTGCTGATGTCCCTCAAAAATCATGTAGATAGATCTTCCAATGCAGCTTCCTGTTTGCTTTAATCCTGAATGGCAAGTACTGGAAAAGATTTGATTGAGGATGTTAACATTTAGAAAGATATTTTCCAAACAGATGAATTGCTATTTGTCATAATGAGCATAACATTTAGCAAGTTTCTAATCTTAGTTTTCACTTTATTTCCTAGCTTTATTCTTTGTATAAAATGCTTTGGGTGTTACAATAACTTGGAACCAGCGTTTCATAATAGCAACTGATGTTCTCAGAAAACTTGTGCAAGATCATTTGGCTGTTATTCAATAAGCAATAAAGGCATCATTGAGATATTTGGGTGTCATTCTTCTTTAGCCTGCATAGTCTTACTTTAAAGATGTGTTTTTATGTTGGAAAATCCAGTTAAAACCCGATTCTGATGGTAGTTATTTGCATAGTTTCTAGTTGGTCCAAACTGGTCCTTAATGGTCTTGCTTAGATGGTCCAAGTTGAATTAGATGTTTGTAGGGCTGTAGGGTGGTCTGGTAGACCACCTTGTTCCAACAAACCAGCTGCTATATTCCAAAAACCCATTTAAGATGGTATGAAATGTTTTTTCCTCACACAACGTAGAATGTTTGTGTCTTATGTTTTTTTACTGAGACATTTCTGTCCTGTTGACTGGCAGTTTTTGGAATTGTACACTGTCTCGGGTTGGTGTGATGAATCAATCAGGAGATTATGTGAACGATAACATCGCAGCCTCTTCTCCTGCTCTCACATTGACAAATACCAGTATCAGTCTGGAGCTACAGCACAGCTTATCACAGTAGACGAATGCTCGCTGCTTGTGCTCATTTGTGACATTTTAGCTATCTTCTCTGTTCTCAATGAATGATGGCTTCAGTGTTTGTTTCTCAGAACTGTCTCTTGTTCACAATTACTGTCTGTTTTTCTTCTATTTTTTCAGTTGTGCTGTGTGAGGTTTAGGTAGATTGCCAGTTTGATAGCTGCCTGTGTTTATGAGGAGATCTCATGAGGAGATCTCACTGGTGTTAACTCTAAAGCTGAACATAGTTCATAGAGTGAAACTTGGTAGCTGGCAGAGAAAAATAATCCAGACTTTGTGGTTTTGTAGAATACCGCAATGACCTTTGAATTAAATGCAGTCTTAGTTATGCCACCATTTTGCTGCAATCCATCACAGAATTACAAAGTCTGGCCAGTTTTTGTTTGTTCACCTTTTCAGCGGAATGCAGTGTGAGATTCTAATGCTTCAAATAGCTGAAATCCACTGCGTTCCAATTAGAGCACAGTCATATTCAGCATCTACAATGAAAAGATTATCCAGTGTTCCCTGTTTAATAAGACAGACTTTTCAGCAGTTCTGATTATCGCTCAGCCTCTGGTTGACCTGCTGATAGAGTCCGAGTAAGCATAGGGCTCAAGAATGACCTCATTCTGAGCTTTTTGCATACATAGCACTGTCCTTTCTGTGTGCCATAGATTCATGATAATGGTCTCTGGATTTAATTCTATTCTGTTGTGTGTGTTCTGCTCTATTCTGTTCTACACTATTCCAGACACTATTCTGTTCTTCACTTTCTCTCCATTTAGTTCAGGTTTATTTTCTTACAATCCCTGGACAGAATAGTATTCTATTCTATTCTATTCCAGGCACAAACTTTTTTTCATGTATATTAAATAGCTAGTATGGTCTATTCCAGACACAAAATGATTTTATGTTTAGTTTTAAGTTACTGACCCCTTCACAATATTCTATTCTATTCTAAACAAAAACATTTCGAGTTCAGTTTTATGTTAATAATCCCTGTACAGAATAGTATTAGCCTATATTCTATTCTATTACAGACACAAAAATTATTTTGTGCTAATGAAGTCTGGACTGCATTCTATTCTATTCTACTCTACTCTATTCTATTCCAGACACAAAAAGGTTTTGTTTAGTTTTAAGTTATTGACCCCTTCACAAAATTCTATTCTATTCTATTCCAAAAAAAGGGGAACCTTAAAATAACTCCTGAGATTACTTTGAGTGCAGTTTTGTTTTTGTGTTTTGTGTGATTATATTTACTCTTTTAGTAAGGAAGTTTAGTTACATCATAGTCATGAACCATGATTTGCTGCTGGATAGTCAAGAGTAGTTTCACAAGCATATAGATAACCTCAAAACAAAGACATGGACTGAAAGCCACAAATTTCTTAAGAAAGCTGTTTTAGGGAGGAAAGTCTATTGAGATAGTCTAGAACCTTTTTGGCGCAGTTTAGGTTAAGTTGGGTCTGTATTTTAGTTCTGGTATTTCTAGTGTCAGTCTTGTATCAGGTTTAGTATCTTGCTTACCTGTAATTTTCTGCTTTTCTGTTTTTTGTTTTTTTTCTCTCTGTGTCAGTGGTTATTTCAGATGCGTTTATCACCAAATGCCCATAAACATCTCTTTTCTATTGACGTTATTGTAGTTGAATAATGTAGAATACCAGAGTAGTTGACAGCTAGAGGGCCCTCTAAACACACACTGGTACACATGCACACACAAACAGTACTTTAACATACCAGTTTCAATTCTTTTGTAGAATCAAGATCATTTCTAAAACTATAAACTCTAACATGATTCTTTTTTTTTTTTTTTTTCAGATATTTCAAGGATATCATATTATGCTGGTAAGACAACCTCCTATACTCTCTCTCTCTCTTTCTCTCTGAAATGGATTTCAAATTGATCGGGGGAAATGTCAACCTAACCTTTATCCACCATTTACTGAATGTGAAATGGGTAGAGCATGTTCTCCTGTATAAAGCAGATCAGTACACTCTGTTCCAAAGCCTGTCAGCCTTCTTTGGGCTGCCCATATGACAATGGAGCTGAATTTTAATTCCTCCCATAACCAGCTTTTCTCATTTGATGTATTATTCATTTATGTAAAAAAGCTTTTTAATGCTGTAAGAGTTTGAGTTTGGGTTATAGCTGTAATTTTAGGTGATTTTTTTTCCTTCTCAGTTTAGTGGTGTTGTGGACGTTGTTCAAATCTAGATGTGTAGTTTACTGGTGCATCCTCAATTCATTCAGCATTTTCTGAGGAACTGCAACATTGTCCAATCACATTCACAATGCCCAACCAATCAGCTGATGTTTCATATTTTTAACCTTGATTTTTTTTCCCCATAGCCAAGGGCATTACTGTTGGAGGGAAGGAGGGCATGTTTAGACAGTAGGGTTCCTGTGTGTCTGTATGGCATCTATGGAGACCATTATTAAGCACAAAATGGGGCCTATTAGCTGATATTTGAGAATGCGGTTAGTATATCAGGAAGTGACCTGTTTGCCCTCCCTATAGGGAATGAGTGCTTGGAATGGTAATGAATATCTCTGGCAAACATGACAAGGTGAAACTGGTAAATAACAGCAAATCATTTTATGCATTATGCTTTGCAATCAGAAGTAAGTTATGACTCCGATTAAGCACAAAATAATGCACTAATCTGCTGGTATTGAGAACTGTGAGAACAGTTCTTAATGTATTAAGTTTGTTGACCTTTGTGTTGTGTATCACTGTACTTATCCAAAAAAAGAAAGAAAAGAAAACGAAAGAAAGACATTTATTGAATTATATAATTAAAAGTTGTAAACCAATTATTAGGCAATGGAATGAAACAAAACTGAAGAAAGACGAAAAAGAGAAGCTGCTGTCTTTTTTTTAAATTGTATTTTAATGCAAAATTTACTTATTATTATTTTTTTAAGTACATTTTAAATATTATGTAAACCATTTTTTAAACAGTTATAAAATAAGCTAAATTTTTATGTAGGTACACTACTCTCTTCAAATTCTAATTGATACTAATTGATACAATCTCACTTGCTCTTTGTCAGACTCTGTTTCTGCTTTATATTTCAACCTTTTTTTTTTTTACTTTAATATATACTAATTGAAATGTCATTACAGACAGAATTATAGTAAATATCTAATGTAATTTCCCATAAATGTAGTAAACCAGACAGAACAAGGACTTAACTGTAGTTATTAAGATGGAATGGCATGTTTGGGATTACACAAAAATGCTGAAATATTTTTTCAGTGCATTGCCAAAGTACCTTATAGATCATGGATTTCTTCATGTTCATCAGCATAAAGAAGTATGCAGGTTATACAAATCGCAAAGGCTGCACTCATTTGCTAAATAAACTGTTGCTTCATTTGCAGTGATGTTTCATCATTTATTTATGTGCATCTCTGCAAGTATGGGCTGTTGTCAAAAACAAGAAACCGACTTCCTTCCTTGAGCCTTTGTCAGGTAGCTGACGGACATTCCTTCAGTCCCTCTCCACATGAATCTCCACGAGCAGCCCACAGCTGTCCACAGATATCCTCTTTCTACCATCATTCATAAGGTGATTAGGGGTTTTTAGAAATGATAATGCTTTGTATTTAAATATGAAACACAATCCCGAGAATGTAAACAGAATCCGGACCGCCCAGCTGAATGATTCTGGTCAAACACACCCAGAAAAACCTGATCGGCCACTTCTTTTGGCTCTGTGGTCTGTGTTTTGTAAACACGAGCTGGTCAGCCAATAGCAGTTGGATTCACAGAACTTATTAGCATATTTAAAGAGGCCCCTCCTCTTATTTCAGTTGGCCTGATTCTTTCTCTCTTTCACATCCCTCCTTCGTATGCACACTTTCTCTCCTGACACACTCTGCCGGATTGTGAAAATTACACAGGCCGTCACCGCAGCGTCTCTCTTAATCTGGATGAACTTCAGAAAGGCAGCTAAAAGGAAGCGTTTTAGCATATGTGAAGATTATTCTTGTCGACATTTCTGCTTTTGTTTCAGCTTCGCCTGCTGCATCCATTCTTTGGATTACTTCGGACAGCTGTGGGATTTCCCTGTCACTTCTGGATCTTTTTCCACTGCTCTTGCTGGTGGTTTTCAAAAGCCGCTTCTGAGGGAAACGAGACCGGCACGCCTTGCGTTTTCGCATATCTATCTGCCATCCTCATTCCCGTAACCTTCATGTTTTCACACTCCTGGATTAGAGCTTCGGTCAGCTGACCAGTCACCTTCCTGCAACCTCACACCACGCCTCGTCCCAGACCTCTGAGGGCCATCCCAGGTGGCCTGGTCACAGTGCGTTGCGGTGGGCCGGGGTCACCCCCTGCTCCCTATGACTGTGCCAGAGAGTCGGAGAGCCGCTGGGCCTGGGAGAGAGACGAAAGCGGAGGCCAGCGGATGGAGAGCAGCGGCTGCAGTCCCTTCCCTCTGTGCTGGGCACGAGGAGCCTGCGTCTACTCCTACCCTCCCCCTCTGCCAAGTATGTCACCCAGATACAGCACTGAAGCAACCCGCTTCCAGAAAACCTCCACGATACTGTTTCACACTCTCTCGGTCTTACAGGATGTGGTGTATTGATTTAAAGGTGGTTTAGGAGAAATGAAAGGTGCTCCGATAGGAGCTCTGATATGACTTCTCAGTGGTTTTCGTCTCTAGTTTCCGGTACAGTGTCTAGTTTCCTTTATGGTGGTTTTGAATCGAGTGTTAGTTTAATATCTCGGAAGATGACTGCTAGCACATTATCTATATTACTAGGGCTGTGGCGTTATAATGCTACGTTCTTCACAATATTGCATCAGTACCTCAGGTCTTTCTATCAGAAGTTTTTTTTAGCCCCCCCAGTCAGTCTCTTTCATAAACATCTCTCATGTTTGGTGAAGCATTCTACTGGTCAGGTCCCATTTGACCTGACTATTAATTTATATTTTAATCACTGTGCTGTATCATACCACCATATAGAAAATATTAATATACCATATGGATTATACTACCGTTTAAAATTTTTGGGGTCAGTGAGATTTTTAAAATATTTGTTTATTTATTTATAATTATAAAATATATATTTCTTATATGCTCACGAGGGCTGCATTTAGATGATCAAAAATGTAGTAAAAACAGTAATATTGTGAAGTATTACCATTGACATTTTTTCTATATTAATATATTATAAAATGTAATTTATTCCTTTGATGGCTAAACTGAATTGTCAGCAGACATTACTGCAGTCTTTGGTGTCACATGATCCTTCAGAAATCATTCTAATAGGCTGATTTGGTGCTCCAGAAACATTTTTGATTGTTATTATTAAAGTTGTGCTGTGTAATATTTTTGTGGAAACCATGGTACATTTTTTGATGAATAGAAAGTTCAAAAGAACAGCATTTATTTTAAATAAATTATTTTCTAACATTATACATGTCTTTTCTTTCAGTTTTGATCAATTTAATTCATCCTTGCTGAATAAATATATTAATTAAAAAAAAATTATTTGACTTACCCCAAACTTTTGAATGGGAGTGTACAGTACCAATCCGTTACACTGCATGTCTACATAATGATTTTATTCCTGATTTTGTATGTTGCCTACATATCGCATGCATTGAGTTATGGACAAAAAAAAAAGAATACAAGTCGCAGCAGATTTTTTCTTTAATAGTCTTAGATTTAAATCAGAATCAGAAAGAGCTTTATTGCCAAGTATGTTTGCACATACAAGGAATTTGTTATAGTGTCACAAGCTTCCAGTACACAGAGACAACAACAACACACAGATAATAAAAATAAGATGTCTGATTTGAGTCATGTTTTATTCACTCACCAAAGACTGTGGATTAGTGGTCTGTGTGCTTATGTTTATCCTTCTTCCTGTGTGCAATTCTGGCCAAAGTTATTCAAATTGACTTTCAAATTTCATTCAATTATTAATTATTTTTAATATGGATGGTTTCAATGAAAAACATCCCCACCAAAGGATCTCTTCTGTAATATAGGGCTTAGAATTCAACTCTCTGTCTAAAAGAGCTTCAGCTCATTAGGCTGAGTTTAATGAACAATCAGAGAGCGGCTGTCAGCCTGATTATCTGTCCGCTGACATCAGTGCAAGAGCAGTCATGTAGGTGGAGTGTAGCTTCATTACTGAGGGGTGAATTCCCATCGGTGCTCAGCTGAGTGTGTGTGTAGCTTGGCACATACTGAATACAAAATATACTGATAATTATTGTCAGTAAGACTTATCTGTGAATTTCATTGAGGGGATGATGAATGATACTGATGCAGTATTTTATTTTATCTTAATTTTTTTCAATTTTATTTTATCAGATAAATGTTGATCATTTAAAAATGCTATTAGGGATTCTGATATTAGCTTTCCTATACAGACTCATCTGAGATTGCTGGACAAGCTACTTTCGGTGCTTTTCTCACATTTTTGCCTTGGCAGTTTCACCCTATTTCACACAGTGATTCCAATTTACAGTGCCTTTTTTTTTTTTTTTTTTTTTTTTTTTTTTTTTTTTTTTTTTTTTTTTTTTTTTTTTTTTTTTTTTTTTTTTTTTTTTTTTTTTTTTTTTTTTTTTTTTTTTTTTTTTTTTTTTAGAATAAAAATAGTCATTTTACTGTGTTATCATAATCACAGTGTGTGTTATAAACTCATTCCTACCCCATGTGAGCATCCTTTTATTTCTTCTCTAACCATCCAGGCCAAATAGATGAAATCAGATTTCCTGCATGGCTTGCTTGTCTCCACCACAATCAGACTGCTTCGTTTCCGTAAACCTTTTAATGGTTTTATAGCCATTAAAAGATGAGAATTAACAGTGTGTCTGGAGGGAGAATGACAGATACAGTAGCCATATATTAGGGCTGGACGATATGGCCAAAATTGATATCACAATATATTTCTTAATTTCGGTCGATACGATATAATTCCGATATCGATATGAACACTATTTATCTGAAATGGAAATCTTTTGTAACATTATAAATGCCTTTATCATCACTTTTGATCAATTTTAAGCATCCTTGCTAAATAAAAGTATTAACTTCTATAATTTCTTTCCCAAAAAAAATAATAAAAATTATACTGAATGGAATAGTGAATAATGTTACAAAAGCTTTTTATTTCAGAAATGCTGATCTTTCTATTAATCAAAGAATCCTGAAAAAAAAAAAATGTACTCAACTGTTTTAAATACTGATAATCAGCAAATCAGCATATTAGAATGATTTCTGAAGGATCATGTGACACTGAAGACTGGAGTAATGATGCTGAAAATTTACCTATGTATGATCACAGGAATAAATTACATTATAAAATCTATTCAAATAGAAAGCAATTTTAAATAGTAAAAATATTTCAACATTTTACTGTTTTTGCTGTACTTTGGATCAAATAAATGCAGCCTTGGTGAGCAGAAGTGAATTCTTAAAAAAACAAACAAAAAAAACATTAAAAATATTACTGTTCAAAAACTTTTGACTGGTAGTGTAGGCTGATTATTCTTATAGAGTGAAACAAATGTGCTTCAGCCAGAAAAAAGGGTATGAAAAGTGCTCCGAGTCGCTGCAGAAAACAAAAAAATTGAACAACAACAAAAACTGGAAATGTTGCTGGAGACGGGCTTATTTAAAATGAAAACTCATTCTCTGCCAGCAGGAGGCGCTTTTAGAATGATAAAACTAGCAGTTTCTCCAGTAATGGCTGTAATCAAAGCAGCTCCGCTCATGAATGCTACTTTATCAGATCAAATGAAAATGCCATCGAAACTTTTCTGAAGACAGTCGGTTCCCTTCAGAGATACATTTATATAAAACACCCGCGCCGTGTTATGATTTTGAAACGTGCAGTGCTCATGTTTATTCAACGAAGTCAAACGGCACAAATAAGTCAATGTATGGGAAACTGGTAATGTATATCGAAATATCGGAAATGTGTTTAAAAATCATATCACCGTTATTGAAAAAAATTATATCGCGATACATATTGATATTGAATTATTGTCCTGCCCTACCATATATGCATAAAAAGATTGGAAAACTGACATTCTCTGTAAGCCAAGAACAAAGAAATGAGGACACGGAGAGCAATGACAAAGCAAAAGTCTTGTCCAAGGTTTTCGATCTAATAGGCCAAAGAAATGTCAGACTCTCCTTTTCTTTTTTTTATTCTTTTCAGCACCTGTCTGTAGAGAAATTGAGTGTGGAATCAGAATAAACTGTTCCAGAGGCACAGAAGCATCCAGTTTTTACTCTCTCTGAGGCCTATACATTTGCTGCAAAGAATCCGTATGCCTGCTTGGGGCTGTTGGTGTCTTCTTGTGAGAGACTGAATGTGTCTGTGCAGAATTACCCTGTAAAAAGAACCCCTCCACTCATCTTCTCCGTTTAACCTATAGCTGTGGAGGAGGCAAAGAAAGAGACGTTAAGTGAGAAAGAGACATTGAGAGAGACCACTCTCACTATCAGATGTCTCAGCTTACATTTCTTGGGCTCAGATACAGGAGCTTTATGTGTGGTGTCCAGTCTCCCTGGTGGAGAGTGAGCTCTTTGAAAAGACTATTGACTGCTGGGCGAAAGATAAGGTGAAGGCAGCACATGTGCTGCCAGATAAAATGAGTACGACACTGATATGTCTAAGCAGTGTTATCACTTTCATCTGAACGATGGTTTTTAAGAATAGTTTTTAGAATGTTTGTGTTCTTGTTTTGTGTGCGTTTTGTTTTCTTTGCTTTGATTTGTCTTTTGTTTTATTTTGCTTTTGCTTTGATTTGGCAAGAACGTTTGCTTTTGTTTTGTTTGGTTTGTTTTTTGCTTTTGTTTTGTTTCAGTTTGTTTCTGGTTTTGTGTGTGTTTTTCTTTTTTTCTTTTTTTTTGGGTGGGGCTTTTTTCTTGTTTTATCTTGTTCATTATGTTTTTGTTTTTTTTTGCTTTGCTTTGGATTCAGCTTATAACATAGATTGTTATGTTGTGATCAGAGTACCTGTGTTCCGTCTCAGCAATGATCTTTTGAGCCTCTATACATCAGTTCAATAAAAGGAAACTAAGGATTTGTGGGGTACACATTATAACCATTCACACTTTGGCAGAGATTTTGGAAAATCCTACCAAAGGTAATGAGTACAGAAACAAAGCTTCTCTCTCTTGCCTCTGGTTCAGTCAAGGACATTCATGTGAATCATTTTATGCACAGTGAATGAAAGATCATTCAGTCATTTTTTTAATTTTATTTCATTCATTGTAATGTCACTGGACCCATTTCCTCTATGGAAATAGCACAGCTAAATATAATACTCTCAGGTGTTACTGTGCAAGCCATATTTAGTGTCAGGATTCATAATGTTTAGGATCAAGCAAAAGATCTGAGCTGAGTGTGCAGCTGGCTTACGAAACCCCCCATTGTCCAAGACAATATTAAAAGCCTTATGCAGACTAAGATATTTCCTCTTGTATATGAATGAATGATGCATTTATATAGCGCTTTATTGTGTATTGTTGTACACCCAAAGCGCTTTACAATCATGTGGGGGGGGGTCTCTCCTCAACCACCACCAGTGTGCTGCATCCACTTGGATGGTGCGACGGCAGCCACAGGACAACGGCACCAGTGTGCTCACCACACACCAGCTACAGGTGGAGAGGAGAGAGAGATAGATCCAATTCAGTGGAGCGTCTTATCCGAAAGACGGTGCTTTTTGACAGTATAGTGTCCCCGTCACTATACTGGGGCGTTAGGACCCAAACAGACCACAGGGTGAGCACCCCCTGCTGGCCTCACTAACCAACAGCAACCTAGTTTTCCCAGGAGGGCATGAAACGGAAGTTGCAATGGTCTTGTCTTCACTATTGTGACGTACAAGTGAAATGGCTTCTTAAATGAGAAAAAATGTAGGATGGGATGTAATTAGGTCTATCAGGAATTGATTGGATCGTTGGATCATTGTCGCTTGCTATTGCTGCAATCTCATGTGAGTGACAGGTTTTACCGCCCTTGCGCCAGTGTATATGTCACCGGAGAAGAGCAAGATATGTCGCATGAAGGAGGGGAAGTTGTTTTAATTAAAGATTACCAGGGCACATGAAATTTCAAAAATTAATGGTGTGCACAGATAAATCATTTACAGTATATTAAACACTGCAATATATAAAAAAAGGCAATTTTTCATAGTGACTAACTGAAATCAATTTGGTGATTCTGTGATCAGTACAGGATTCTGTGATTCAAGAGCTGCTTGTTCTTCAGTAAAACAACAGTTGAGTTCACAAAATGAAAATATGATACTAGTTTGAATACAACTTGATTTTCAGTATTTTAGCATTTTAAGCCATATTTTTTCTCTGCTTAAAATAAAAATGATCTTGAAGGCATAACCTGGCTATCTTATAATGTATGCATAGACATCGTAAATATGAGATGTGTATTTGTTGTGTATTTTGTGTGGATAATTGTAGTATTAAGAATTTTGAGTTTTATTTATATCAGAATATAGTAGAAATCCATCATTCAGTTGCTGTATGCTAGAATTTGATTGTATTTAAATGCTAAGCTCCAGTGTTTTCAGTCAGATATGTGTGTGTGTGAACTCCTCCTCCTGGCCAAGGTCCCATTTAACCACGTGTGTTTACTTGTGGGCGAGTTCAGCCGCTTGTGTGTGTATGTAGTCCAGTGCGAGTGCTTGCGGTCTATCAGCTGGTTTAACCCAAGTGTTGTGATTTCAGGGCCGTTGAATCCAGGTCTTTGACTCATGACCGTCTTGTGAGGACGCATTGTGTATTCTCCTGGTCTCCTCAGGACAAGCGGACAGGAACTGGATCTCTGGTTACATGAAGCATGGGCCAGTCTGCTGGACACATTATGATAAGCAGGATATGATGTCACACAGAGGAAGCTACTTAAATGAATTGTCTGTTTGAATATGTGTGAGAGGGCATTTATATCTGAAATGTGAACCAAAAGACTGACAGTAGTGACAACATGGAGTTTACGTTTTGTTGACGTCCTTCGGACCCACCAGAGTGCATGTGTGCTTTGGACTTAAGTTGCTTCACAGGCTCATTGTTTGTGTTTTTAGAGGGCCATTTAAGCCCTGAACTATTGAGATCCACGCTGGCGTGTACCTGCTGGCCCTTCTTCAGAAAAGGTAGGAGAGGGGCTCAAAATGAACTGAAACTAACTAAAACTTAATTAAATGTGTCCTATATGCTTACCGGTTGTTTCACGCTGATTTCATTTCCTGTTTGTGTATGTGACCCTAATTTTGTTTGTCATTTTACTTTTTGGTGTCATTTATAGATGTACATTTATTTGAGTGATTGTAATGGCAAATATTTATTACATTACTGTTTATTCCAATTTTCTCTTTTGAGTTCTTAATTCTGATTGGTCAATAATGATCAATGCCCAGTGCAACTGACCACTCATCTGCTTCGTTCTTGGTTTATTTTATTATGATGACCATGTAGGCTTATCGTCACCTTTACGATTAGCTGTTCATCATTTAACCAGAGCTGTAGACACATCGTGGGAACGTTTCGGGCTGATTTAGCTGACATGAAACAGTCAGCCATTGTTGTGTTGACCTTGCAGCTCTGGAATGCTATAGTTCGCCATCATGGATTGTTGTACTTGAAGCTCTTCTGCCAGAATATCTGACACTATCATAGTCCCCAAGGCCACTTGTCTGGCATGCTTGCAGGAGACATCTGTCTGTCTGAAGTGTTGGTGTCTGGACCTTTTCCTTTATTTCCTCCCAGGAGTCCAACCTCCTGCTAGCGTCTACAGCATCCTGCTGTAAATTTTGCTCTGACAGTTGAATATCAAGCTGATCGGACAGTCTTCTTTATCAGTGTCGATCCAAAGTCTTGGGATTGCTTTGCTGCCATTCATTGTGTTCAGGTGACGCCTCTAAACTGACTTGACTGAGAGCTTTCATTGTCTTGTCAGTGTGTTTTGTGAATGTTTGTGCTCTGATAAATGGGTTTTTCTTTTTATTCTGAACAAGAATATTCCATTATGCAGTGATCTGATTAGTATTATTATTATAAGACCAAACAGACTAAAGGCATTGCAGAGCTGATAGTTCATCCATTTACAATAGCTTTCCCATAATCCTTCGGATTGTATTTGTAGCACAAACAATGCATATATTTTTTACAGGCTTAGTAATTGTTGATTGTACTTCTTTAAGGCCTCTGCAGTGACCTTTTATGTTCTCTTCAGAATATGACAGACAGTTAGCACCCACCAAAGCCATGGCAGCGGCTTACCTGGACCCCAACCTGACCCATGCCCTGAACCAGGGGGTCAAGCCTCGCTTCAGCGCAGGGATGGAGCGGTCAGCTGGGACTCTGGAGCGCGTACTCCGAGTCTTCCACTACTTCGAGAGCAGTAGTGAACCCTGCACCTGGGCCAGCAACATCCGACACGGGGACTCAACCGATGTCAGGGTGAGTCTGCAGATCAGCTGGGTCACACTCCTAATGTTCTCCAGGATATAGAATACTATATCGGATCATATCGATTGCAGAGAAGAGAAGAGAAATGCATTGTCATTGTTCTTATGTATTTTTGGCAAATATTGAGGCTGATATCAGATTTATTTATTTATTTATTTTTTACTTGCTGTGTTTATATGGCAGGTATTAATATTTTCTATTATAATGTTTTAATATGCATGCAGAATTCTTTTTGAGAGCTTTTTTATAATTATTATCTTTCAAAAACCTTAATTAATAACAAACTAACAATAGACTTATTGCACAGTCATATTGCTAACTAGATTTTTTTCATTCATTATTAAAAGCAAACAGACATCATCATATGAGCATTGGCTAATATATCACAAATATTCAGTGTTTTCAACCATATAATGCTTATTTTAGGTTTCAGACATTTAAATACACATAAGTACTAGCAAAACCATACATTTATAGTTTGTAAAATACACGCTGATGTCTATGGAAACGGCAATAATGATCATTACAAATATAATCTGACGACATGTTTTATTGATATCATATACACTTAGTGTAGGTAACAATAACGTTTACTCTATTCTTCTCCCAGTTTACCGGAGACTTTAACGTGTTTCGGGAGAAAAGGATGAATTGCGTGTTGTAAATCCCACAGCTCGGATTCAGCGCGAACTAACATGGCGGCGCCCATCACACGCTGTAGATCAACTAACACGTTCATTATAAAAGTGTTTAAACTACCAAATACATTTTACTTGCACATATTTCAGAATCGGAATATCAGATATTTCATAATATAGTGAGCATGTTTGTGAATATATTGAATAAAACAGGAAAAACGAAATAAAAGCGATCCATGTGTCATACAGATCTATTGTGGCTGCGTTGTGTCACATGACAAGCATGACGCGTCGCCATGGAAACAATAAGGCGATACGTTCTAAAATAATGGTCGCCTAAAAAAATATTTTAAACTCACGTGCGAAAGGGTTAATGAATTTTATTTTTAAAAAAATTATTTATTATTATTTAATTTAATTATTTTTTCAGAAATACGGTGTTATGTATTTACATTTTCTGCTAAATAAATTCTGGTAAATATTTTTTCTGGTAAATATTCCTTTAAAATAATAATTTAATAATAATTTTATTTAGTAGTAATACTATCATTACATTAGGTAATATATTTCTGTCACAGTTTCTTCAAGTTAAACCGGACTTTTATTTTGACGGGTTGCTGTGAAGACCTTTAAGTTTCTGTTTGTATATGACATGAAAATGAATTATTATTATTATTATTATTATTATTATTATTATTATTTCTGCAGTTTAGCGCCATCTGCTGTCAGAGAGTGAAAGTGCGCTTTCATCCAGAGCGTCTCTCACATGTTCCGCCATGTGCTTCTCGTCCGCGCTTGTTTACATCAGAGTGCGCACGCGTCTTTCAAGCAGCATACAGCCGAGTTGTGCATTTTGACCAGTTGATGGGAAAAGTATTCTTAAAATGCATTCAAAATTCTGAATAATTTGTAATATATAATTATTCACATTATTCATTTAGAAGTGCCCACGATAACAATATCGTGCATATTCATTACCGTGATATATCGCATTACCGAATACCGGCACAAGTCTACATGGAAACAATAAGGCGATACGTTCTAAAATAATGGTCGCCTAAAAAAATATTTTAAACTCACGTGCGAAAGGGTTAATGAATTTTATTTTTAAAAAAATTATTTATTATTATTTAATTTAATTATTTTTTCAGAAATACGGTGTTATGTATTTACATTTTCTGCTAAATAAATTCTGGTAAATATTTTTTCTGGTAAATATTCCTTTAAAATAATAATTTAATAATAATTTTATTTAGTAGTAATACTATCATTACATTAGGTAATATATTTCTGTCACAGTTTCTTCAAGTTAAACCGGACTTTTATTTTGACGGGTTGCTGTGAAGACCTTTAAGTTTCTGTTTGTATATGACATGATGACAGGACAATAGTTTTCTCAAAAGAAACTGTAAAATGCTCATGAAGTGACTCTCAGAGCAGTTATAGACATTGTTTATGTGTTCATGTATTCATATTGGCTGGAAACATCACGAGCGTCATGTATGTGTGTGGTAAAGAAACCGCGCGTCTGCGCCATTCATACACACTCGCAGAACATGTAGGATTCATATTGACATACTATTTTTGTGGCTTAATATTCACAGACACTAGTCCATCTCGCATTTTGATTTAAGTGTACTGACCTACTTTTGATTTATCCATCCAAAATTTGACAAATTCCGTGACATTCCGCCTTATACTGTAAATTCCGTTTTTATGACTCCACTTTAGTACAACATTAGTCTGAGTTACACCACAAACATTCCTGTGCAGGACTAAAGAGGATATTTCCTCTGAGCTCCAGGCTTTTCAGCATTATTTAGAATGCAGCTTGCAGTGGCCTAGAACACTCATGGTAAAACCCCTTCAGACAATGGCATGCTATGCTACTCTAAATTATTTAATGAGGTTGGTTTTTGAAGCCAAGTAGCCGTACGACTTCAAAGCGCATTGTCCCGCTTTCATCCTTCACGTGGCTGCCATTGTCCCAGTTCTCTGCTGTTTTATGCAGGTTTACGTCTGATGCTTATCAGTCTTATCAGGTCTGAACCTCATCCAAACCTGGCCCAAACTAAACAGACCACTGCCACAGAAACGTCACATTAACTCACAGTACTTCAATAAATGAAACAGATTGAATTGACGTCTAAGATGAAATTAATGCAGGTGGTTTTAGTGTGATAAAGCCCTATGATTAAGCCAGGTTTTCTCTTTTTTTTTTTTTAAATGTTATTTATTTTTTAGACATGTTATATTAGTAGTCTATGATGTCTGTAAGGAGATAGAAAAGATAACGGCCATGACGTATTATTCATCACACACTAATGTGGCTTATCAGTTCTTGCCTGATGGCTCATGCATTTTGCAATTTGCATAATAAATTAAATAACAGTTTTTCCATCCTGTTAGACATCATATATTATGCCTCAGCAGACTCTTGCTCTCTCTTGGCCTCATCCATCTCCTCTCTCACCATCGCTGTCTTACATTGATTTGAACCACAGAACTTACTGACCCATAACATGACACATTAATCAAAGAAAGATTAAACTGAAACTCTTCTGGCTTTGAGCCTATTTTTTTCAGAATATTCTCTGACATTTACTCATTTAGATGTGTCCTGCTTTATATATTTTATGAACTTTATAGAGTGCTATGCTGTCATTAAATGCTTGTGTATGTGTTTTCAGGGCATTATACAGAAGATCGTGGACATCCATAAGGTGAGGTGTGTGTCGTGCTTTGGTCTGCGCCTGAGCCACCTGAGAACAGGTGAAGTTCATTGGCTCCACCCCGACATGGGTGTGTCTCACGTGAGGGAGAGGTACGAGCACAGCCACCCCCAGGACGACTGGAGGTGAGTCACTGTTTTAGTGCTCATATCATAAGCATAAAACCATTGTTATGGTTAATAGTTGATTTATTTATTAACTGTTTATTTATCAGTTAATAAATAAATAGCACAAAGTTGGTTTCTGTTTTTCAGCCAATAGCAAACAAGGAGATTGTTCGGAAAACCTATACTTTCATAACATTTTTTAAAAACATTTGAAGGAAATCACTTATGTTCAACAAGGCTGCATTTATTTGATCATTGCAGTAAAAACCATACTATTGTGAAATAGTATTATAATATATTTAAAATTATTAAATTTTTTATTTTTTAAATTATTTCATATATTTAAAATGTAATTTATTCCTGTCCAAAGTTGAATTTTCAGCATCCATTACTCCAGTTTTCAATGTTGCATGATCCTTTAGAAATTAATCTAATATGCTGATTTAGTGCTTTAATTAGCTGTCACCGTCCCACCTATGGGACGCCTGGCACTCTTTTTTGTTGTTGTCCTTTTTCTCTATCAAACCTTTTAGTAATCATCATAAAGTATATATCATTTGAAAGATTAGAAGCCCAAGATTCATCCTGTGAAAACCATTTTGAAATCGGACATTGCGTTACCATAGAAATGGTACTTTAAAATCTTTTGGCGGTCTTCTCCCCCTTAGTGAGCAGTGTCAAGTGTCATATTACAAAATGCATTACGGTCTTTTAGAATCAAACCTTTTTATAATCTTGACAAACATATCATTGGAAAGGTCTGAGTCTCGGGATTCCATATTTGGTGGTTATTTTGAGATAGACGTAATATTGACAGAGAAATCTAGACATTTGTGACAGAAAAATGCATTAAAAATTTTTTTATGGAGTTTGTATGGCTGTTTGTGGTATAACGCCCTAAATAAAATGTCACCGGAACCTCAGTTTTTTTCATATCAACTTCAAATTTGGAACATAACTTATTTAGACATAAGGCTTTAATTTTATACCAAGTTTAGAGTAAAACCTGTTATGTAAAATATTTATAATAAATAAAATAAAATTAATATAGTGCATTTTATTTACAGTAAATGTAAACTTCTATAACTTTTTTATACTTCAATTTTTTTAAAAGATTCCACTTTTGCAATAATCTGCTAATTTTTTTTCTTTAAAAAGAGACCAACCTTAGGTCTGTATTCCAAAGTGTTCATAAATTACAACAATTTAAGTTTGGATAGTGCACTTTCATGCCTATTTTAAAAAATGGGGGGTGACAGTTAAGGGGTTAAGAAACATTGCTTATTACTATCAATGTTGAAAACAGTTGTGCTGCTTAATATTTTTGTGGAAACTGTAATACATTTTTCCTTGATGCATTACTGTGGTGCATTCTTTGATGAATAGATAGTTTAGAAATAGAAATCTTTTGTAACATTATAAATCTCTTCACTGTCACTTTTGATGAATTTAATGCATCATTTAAACTTCTATAACTTTTTGATACTTTAATTTTTTGAAAAAAAAATCCACTTTTGCAGTAATCTGCTGATTTTCTTCTTTAAAAAGAGACCAACCTTAGGTCTGTATTCCAAAGTGTTAATACATTACAACAATTTAAGTTTGGATAGTGCACTTTCATGCCTATTTTAAAAAATGGGGGGTGACAGTTAAGGGGTTAAGAAACATTGCTTATTACTATCAATGTTGAAAACAGTTGTGCTGCTTAATATTTTTGTGGAAACTGTAATACATTTTTCCTTGATGCATTACTGTGGTGCATTCTTTGATGAATAGATAGTTTAGAAATAGAAATCTTTTGTAACATTATAAATCTCTTCACTGTCACTTTTGATGAATTTAATGCATCCTTGCTGAATAAATGTATTAATTTCTTTCAAAAAGATCTGACTCCAAACTTTTGCAAGGTAGTGTATTTGAAAATAATGAATTCAATATGATTTCATAAATAGTAATAGTAATAGTAAAATTTCAAAAATAGTAATAGTAAAATAGTAGTAAAAGTTGTGTACATTTTTTAATTTCAGGAGTCTTGGAATTGTAAATGCTGTATGTCAACATATTGGCCACCTTACATTTTATATATCAGTATCGACATTGGCCTTAGAAAAATGTGTAGTTAAATGTCTAGTTTACTTTGAATGTGTTCTCATCATATATGCATTTAAAAAATAAAATAAATCAGAACTGTGAGCTTTCTGTAGAGGAAAGCAACTATGCTTTAGATTCTGACATGTCTGTGTGGCCATACAGGGGCTTAGTAAAGATTGCCACCACTTATTTCTGTCATCGTTCCCCCTCCTGCTTGATGTTTCTATCTGCAATACAATCAAAACACCTCTCACATCTCTGAAATAGCACAATAGCACTTTTTCATACAGTACGTGCCATGTTATATCTGGGTAATGCCTGTTTTATGGGGTGACTCTACACATCGTTCTGTTGTAAAGCATTATGGGAGTGAATGTGCTGTTCATCTTTAGAGGATGAAAGGATGATATAATGGCTTATGTTATGTATAATTCATACAGTGGGGGTGAATAATTCTGCATCACGATGTGGTTGACCCAGTGGGCGGAGCTTTAGAATGAATGTGGCTCATCGTAGTGAGTTTTATCTTACTGAAGCTAAATAAAGCAGTGCGAACTTAATTGCTCTATTGTTTATATTCCATTCACGCAGCCGGGGGCTTGTTTCACCCATCTTCTTTCTTCAACTGTTCGTTCTGAATGAATGGGCTTTTTATGCATTTACGGGAAAGTCCGCAGTTCAAAGGATGAGCTTGAGTCTGTTTGCCCTCCAGCATGTCTTCATAATGAAAAACAGAACCCTCGTAATACATGCAGCATTTGCTTTAAAGCAAGACATTTTACCCTCTTCAAATGCAGATCAGCAGGTTAAATTCCTCCTCTTCAGTTTCTGCAGAAATAGAAAAGAAACACATAGGATTTAACTGCAGGCGACCTCTTGTTTTTTATTGTCTATGATCATGTTTCCCACATGGGATAATGTTATTATTCAGCACAGCCTAAAGTACAGTGGGATAAACTGAGTTAAACCAGAAATCTGAACTGGTTCTATTTTGAAAATTTTACTTTGTATTGGTGGGAATTTGTGCTAGTATATGTAGAGCAATGCTTGTTCATCAGTTTTACTGGTGATATTTTTATGGGCCTGATCATGGAGGGACAGCATTTCTACAATTGTATGGATATTGAAGCTGAGGCAAATTTTTGCACTACTCAGATTTTTGTCAAGTCAAATGCTATAGAGTGAACAAAGAACTGAAAGGAATAGTTGACCCACAAATGAAAACTTGCTTAAAATCCTCAACCCTCTACGGACACCTTGGCAATTGAATCGCCATTGGCTAGTAAATTTTTAAGTTTACTCGCCAGACTGATATACCATACATGAACCGGAAAATACAACAAAGAATATCATTTACATGTAGCGCGTCAATTCTGCATGTAGACTCTCTCGCGCTCTCTCTCTCTCTGCGTGTGTGTGAGACAAGGTGTGCGCCTTTACACTAGAGTTCACGGTATGTCAAACACAGGTGCGTTGCACATCCATTCAGATGAACTGAGAAATATCACAGATCGCTTGACGGAGAGTGAAACTCTGAAGCGCTCAGTCAGTGTGTTCGGCGAGTGAAAATATATCTGTGCTAAACTTATACTTAGCATCCAACTCACACACTGGCGAGTAAAATCTGAGAATTTATTAGCCAGTGGCTAATATTAGACATCATTTAGTCGCCCAGAGTGAAGATTAGTCGCATATGCGTGTGATTTACTCGTAATGTAGAGGGTTGATCCTCACCCTTAGGTCATCGAAGATATAGATGAGTTTGTTACTTCAGAACAGATTTGGAGAAATTTAGCATTAAATCACCAATGGATCCTCTGTAGTGAATGGGTGTCGTCAGAATGAGAGTTCAAACTGCTGATAAAAACAATACAGTAATCCACAAGACCATTCTAGTCAATCAAAGAACATTTTGTGAAACGAGAAACTACGTGTTTGTAAGAAACAAATTCATCAATTCGTTTTCATTTTAAATCATCGCTGCTGGTGAAAAAATACCTACTCTCACTTTTTCTAGTGAAAAAGTCCACCCTTTGTTGTTTTCTCACATCAAAATCCACAGACATTTTGTTTTGAACTGCTTTGTACTGTTTTTGCTTGTCAACAGTGTTTGATCTGTGCATATATTTCTCCTGATTCAGACAAGACTGCTTTTCGAGAAAGCAATATTACGGATAGAATACCCGTATTTTAGTTGGAAACAACAGTTTGAAGTTTAAAAATGTTTCCACAATGCATTTTAAAACTATCTGAAACTCAGTTTGTCTTCATGTTTTGTGCATTATGTTTGAGGCAGATGGCAGCAAGTTCCAGGAACATCATCCCTAGCCAATTTAGAGAACATTGTTTTGAACGTGTGAGGCAGGTGCCGCAGCATTCTGGCTTGTGCTCAGGTAGAGGGATGTGTAAAACTAATTTAGCGTAATTGAGAGCAGACAGTGAACCAGCTGTGAGAGAATGGGGTGTGATTTTTACCTCCCAGACAGACAGCTGCTGAGAGCAGCCACTAATACTGCCATAATTGTGTTGTCTGGCAGACTTTAAAAGATCTTGTCTCACCGGCATCTCTAATCAGTCACATATGAAAGGGAAGATGAGTAAACAGTGCCATAATCTGAACCATCATTGTTGTTAAAGATTCAAAACACACAGCGAAGGTGTTCAACCCGAGGGCTTCATTTTCTAAAGCGTCTGTTGTGATTGGTCAGGCTGTATGACAGCTGCCAATCATTGATGATCACCTGTGATTGATATTCCTGAGTGATTATTTTGTAGGTAGAGCTGACAGTGTGTGGAGTGTGTCTTTTATTAGATCATTTATTCTCCTCTCTCTTCTCTCTGCAGATATGAGCTACGGATTCGATACTTGCCTAAAGGATTTTTAAACCAGTTTACTGAGGACCAGCCAACACTCAACTACTTTTATCATCAGGTGATGGATAGTTTAATCTGGCAGCCTGTGTACTGCTGCCAAACCTTTTGCTACTATCTCCCTGTATAGACACTTCCTCCCCTTTGTCTACACTCTGCACGGGTGAATCGCACGAAACCTGTCAAGAACACGCCTGGGGCGTATTTCACCCCAAAATCAAAAGAAGCTATAAATTATACTTAGTTTTACTGTACCTTGTTATTATATTTGGACAATGAAACCTAGTAGCACCAACACAATGTTTTACAGTTTGATATTATTTCCATGACAATTAAGCATGTTCACTTTTTAGTTCTTAGTGCAAATTGTAAAGTCATGATGGTCTTTGTTGTATTGCTTTAATTTTTGCAGATCCTAATTGCAAAAAGATTTTCAGCAAAAATGAGCATCATAATAATGTCACAATGCAAAAAAATGAAATTAAATAATGGTCCTACCATAGGTTTCTTTTTCTTCATGCAATATTGTGTACATTTTTTATTTTATATTGTGTATTTCATTTATTTTTGTGTTGTTATTATTATTATTTTGGGGTGAAATATGACCCTTTTTGTGAGATTCACCCACACAGTGCATTAACAAAAGAAACGGAAAGGTGGTTCACTGTTCAAGGCTCAGGGTCTGTAACTGGTTTGATCCCTGCCAGGTAACAAAGATCAAACCATAAGCTCACAATCATCATTGTAAAACACTTAACCGACAGCTGGCTGTCCCTGTGATAAGTTCATGTCTCTGTTCTATGACGTCGTCACATGAAAGATAAGGAAACCAATTCCAACCGGTCCTTTTGTGGTAATCCATACAAAAGACAACAATAATGAATACGAATAACAAGAAAATTTGATTTAAATGGATTGTGAGGAAAGTACATTGGACTATATCAAACTTCATTATTTTTTTTCATGACTAGCAAATTAGCTCTGTATTATTGTATTATGAATGTTTTATTAATTCGACATGCAGTATCGGTCTGTTCCAGAGGAGGAGTGAAATGATAAATTCTGTCATTATCCACTCTGTATGGTCAGTATTGTGTTGTGCCTTTCTCCTTGCCTAGCCTAATATACATCTCTTCTGTGCCCAGGTGAAAAGCGATTATATGATGGAGATTGCCGATCAAATTGATCAAGACATAGCACTTAATCTAGGCTGCCTTGAAATCAGGTATGTGTGATACACAGTATACACCGTTCAAAGGTTTGGGGTCAGTAATTCATCAAAGAATCTTGAAAAAACATATTGCTGTTTCTACAAAATTATTAAGTAGCACAACTGTTTTCAACATTGATAATAAAAAAGAAATGTTTCATGAGCATCATATCAGCATAATAGAATGATTTCTGAAGGATCAAGTGACACTAAAGACTAGACAAGCCATCACACAAATAAAATTATTTTAAATTTTAACAAGTTTTCAGAATGTTTCAGTATTTGTGTGTTGGTGAGAGATTTCTTTCAAAAAGATTAGAAAATCTTATCCACCCAAACTTTTCAATGGTAGTATAAATGATTAAATGTAAGTGTTTTCCCATGACTTTTAACAGATAAAGACTGAATTCAGACAAATCACTTTCCTCTTCTCCTTTACAGGCGGTTTTTCAGGGACATGCGTGGAAACGCCCTGGATAAAAAATCAAATTATGAATTATTAGAGTAAGTAATGCTATGTTTGGATCATTGGTGTCCAGTTCTCAAATTGTGTCCATATTTACATGAATTATAAAATATTTCTTCAGACAGCATCCTTTTTATTTAACTTGAGGGATTGTAGTGCAATTAGTTTGGGTGTTTTTCACCTTAGAATAAAAATAAAAAAAATTGTAAGAAAGTTAAAAATAAACTTTACATTGTTTTGTGAGAAAGTTGAAATTTGTGAAATGTAAAGTCAAAATTAAGAGCAATCAGGAGATATAATGTTGCAGTTGTGAGAAATACAAGTTCCATTGACTTCCATTGGGAAACCTGGCTTAACACATAAAAAAAAATGTTCTCTCAATAACTATCATGACAGAAGGATTAACATTTTCGCATTGTGCCTGGACATTATGTTAGAAATTAAATTCTAATTGGTTCCTATTTCTGCATATTACTGCAGTGTTTTCTTACGATGTAATGCTGTTAGTGTACTTCAAACCAAGCTCATACTAGACTGAAAGGAGTACTGTAGTTCTTTGAACCATTAGAGGATTTCTCTCCCTCTCTTTTTCTTTCAAATTGTGTGTATATGGGTCAGAATAACTAGTCCGTGTTGCATGGCCCTCTATTTTTAGTAGAGTATAATTGATCTTTGTGTATCTCCTGCAGTGGTGCAGGGTCTCCATTACTGTAGTGTTGCTTTACACTGGAAGAGACAATAATCTGTAATAATGGCTCAGCAACAAACAAGTTGATGTCTCGTTTCTTGCGCTTTTACCCCAAAATCTTATGTTTTGTTTGCTTTTAAAGACTGAAGTCAGTTTCTTGCTGTTTTTTCTCCCTGCAGGAAGGACGTTGGTCTGCGGAGATTCTTTCCAAAGAGTTTATTAGACTCAGTGAAGGTAATGAGACATTTCTGACGCTCCTGTGATGACTTCCTCAAAACGGTGGTTGTCTTGATGCATTGGATGTGAGAAAATGCTATTGTTCAGGCAAAACCAATGTTATTACCTGCCTGGCTTCCTCTGTGGTCTCACACCCCTGAGATGTTTTGGCCCAGTTCTGTTTTCCTTCTCTTTCTGAAGAAGCCACTGAAGGGAACCGTTCTAATGAAATGCAGTTTGCCAGAGAGCCTGTTTCCTTTTCCACCTGACCTAACTAGTCCCTTTTAGTCTTTCAGTATGCTGTGGCATAATGTCTTCTGTTATTTTAGCTATTTGTAAGGCATTATTCTCTGTAAAATTTGGTATTTGTGAATATTTCTATACAGACAAATTGCCATGATTTTTACACCTTTAAAAGAAAATAATAGAAATAAATGTATGTTGATATTTATTTTTATATTAAAAAACAAAAACAGAAAATATTTTAACATCCAAATATCATGCAGTTCACCTTTGCAATTTTGCAGTGATAAACTGCTAATTATTTTCTGCTCGTTGCATCATTAATTGTTCTAGTACATTCTAATTCTGTGCGCATTTGGGAATTGCGATTGAGAATGGAAATGGCGTTTTTGTGTATTTGCGTTCCCGAGGGATTTTCCTGTTCTTTATTAAAGGAGATTTCCTGCATATTTTGTGGCTTTCACTCTCTTCTGCTCTTCCTTTCTATATTTTACATTCTACCCCCAAAGCAGCCCAAAATCACCTCCTTTTCATTGGTTGCCATGGAAACCCAAGCCCATGTCAAGAGGGAAGAGAGAATTACCGACCAGTTTTGTGGGTTTTTAATTTGAGAATCTTTAGATTTACAAATATTCTAGATCTCTCAAGGAGAGGACCCTGATTCTAATTGGCTAATTATCATCTCTGAATAATGAATACTTATTGTTAATGTTTACATAATTTGACAGGGCTTGTTTACACCATTAAAGATTGGTTTGAAAGCTATTAGAAACCTGTTTGTCATTTTATATTTAGATTAAGACCCCTTATTGAGAAAAAATCACGTCATTTTTCTGCAAAGACAGTTTTATTCAAACCTTTAGTGATTTTTCTTTGCTACGGTCTTATTCTTGTGCCATCAAAAGGATTCACGGGCCTCAATTCCTTCTCTCTGAATAAATATTGATTTACAGAATTAATTTATAAATGCTTTTTCCTTTAAAAAGGTTCAAATGTCCTTGTTTGTTGCATTAGGGTTCTTGTTGTCTACGCCTAAAGGTAAAGTGTGTAATTTTTGCACCAGGCAAGACCAAACAGGTAGTTCCTCCTCAGACGTGTGCCATTGATTGAGCAGTATTGAGGAAACAAAGCAGCATTTCACAGTGTTTACAATCTTTCTAAAGTCATCTTATGAATGGCATGTAGTTGTCACCAATCTCGGCTAGAAGAAAGTGTTTTATCTCAAAAAATTCACACACTTCACCTTTAAGGGTTTATAACTAATATTATAATTTAATTACAAGTCACTGTATTTTGTCTTTGCAGGCTAAATCCCTGCGGAAACTGATCCAGCAGACTTTTAAACAGTTCGCCAATCTGAACGACGAGCAGTGTATCCTCAAGTTCTTCGAGATCCTTTCACCTATATACAGATTTGATAAGGAGTGTTTTAAATGCGCTCTCGGGGTGAGTTGAGTTTAGATGTTAATTAATTAAATTCATTAAAATAAAGCCACAAGTCATTTACATGTAATAACTCTCCTGATTTACTATTTCTTGTCTTTATGATGATAGACTACTTTAATGGTCTGCAGTGCCCTCTGTTGGCTGAAAGATGCATAACTATCGTTTTGCCATTTTTTTCTTTCAAACGAGTACTCATAAGTAATCATTCATCATTGTGAGAGGACATCAATTTGCATTGTATCTATCAGTTTGGGTGTGTTTCATAAAGTGTTTGAGTTGAATGTGTCTGCTGTTGTGTGTGATAGTCAAGCTGGGTGATATCAGTGGAGTTGGCCATCGGACCCGAGGAGGGCATCAGTTATTTGACGGACAAAGGATCAAATGTAAGTACTGTGCGGTTCGATGGGTGAGGGACTGGACTGATAGACAGTTGGACAGTGAATCTAATGTCTGTATCTGTTTCTTTGTAGCCAACACACCTCGCTAACTTCACACAAGTACAGAGTATTCAGTTCGAGGAGCGAGATCGGAAGGGAACGCTGCAGTTAGATGTAGCTGGAGCACCTGAGGTAATTTCCACACACTGTTTTCAGTGTATCATTTTGTCTTATATGTGGTTTTTATACGTTCTTGTTCATTTTCCAGCCTCTGACGGTAAAAACTACAACACTGAACACAGCAGAGAACATGGCTGATCTCATTGATGGTTACTGTAGACTTGTTAATAGAACTTCTTCATCGTTTATTGTCCGTGTACAGAAAGGTGAGAACACAGAAGCGCTCAGACGAATCATATTAAATTTGACAACAGCCTAATCTTAATAATGTTAATAACATTTCACAGTTTTATTGTTTGGTAGTTTTTTTTTTTTAAATCAAATTTGTATTTCTCAATGTTTGTCAACAGAAGGAGAGAGAGCTCTTCCATCTATCCCAAAGACTCCAAAGTAAGTTGCAAAACTCAGACCCTAAGGTACTATACCACTTTTTTCCCAATAGTTTTTCATTGGATAGATTCAGTTCGTCTTTTTCGCCCTGTTCTTGCTCCTTTGGCCTCTTTGGCTCAGACATGTGGAATCTCTCAGTGTACCTTCAACTAATGTGACCCGCAGCCCAGCTCCCATTAACGTGGCTGTGGTAGTGCCCATCTGTTATGTCACACCCCCCCTTCACACGCTAATGGAACAGACCCGCTCAGTGGCTTCAACACAGATCAGTGTGGAAAAGGTCATGCTGTGATTAAGTTTGATTGAAAATGTACACGATTCATCTTCTTCAACCTCTGTCACACAGATCAGCAAACCATGAGAAACGGTTGCAAGGAGTCCGGGCCAAAGCCATCTCCGTTTCAGGTAAGACTCATCCAAGAGGACTGAGATGTGACCTCACATTTTCATTGATAATGAACTTAATCCATAACTAATTCCAACCCGGTTGTGTAACCCTCTGATGTTTTCAATTCTTAATTCAGAGCAGTTCTAGTCTAAATGAATGTCTCTTGTCTTGTTTCTAAAATGCTGGTCAACATTGTAATTCTAAAATACTCTCAAACCCTGCTGTAGTTTACTGGGGCATGTTTTGCTTGCATTATGGGGACTGAATGTCCCCACAAGGATGGTTAAACCTGAAGTCACCTGAATTAAGAGGGTCAACGGTCCCCACAAGGAAAATGGCTTAATGAAAGTACTAAAAAAATAATTAAAATGCAAAAAGGTTTTTTGAGGTTTAGGGTATAAAAAATAGCATTAGCTCAATGTAGTAACAGTGCAAGTCACTGGAAAGTCCCCACCTTGATGGTGCATGTGTTTTTAGTATAACCTACGGAATAAGAATGCATTTTTTTTTTAAATCTATCTGTTGATAATAATGGTTTGGGGCTTTGTTTTATTGCTTTGTGTAACAGCCATGAAATACTCTTTTGTTCTGTTGCCTCTCCTCAGTAATGTATTTTGATGAAGACATTAATCTAATGCTTTCTCTTTCTTTCTTTCTGTCTCTCTTTTAAATCTTTTGCATGCTGATTGGATCCACAGATGATATTGGTGGGGATGGTAAAGTCCAGTTTTAATATGTCTTATTGCTGAGTTGAGCGGGGCGAGATATTTAATATTCACAATATACTGTACGATCTCAAATCATCTTGTGATTTTCAGCAGAGATTGTTTTTGGTGATAAAATGCAACAATGTGAATATCCTAATGATTCTAATGCATTTAAGTTTCCTATAGGTACTCATTTTAGTTTTAGATTCCCTTTTTATCTTGTGACTTGATAATATAAATTTTATGATAAAATAACTTCAAACGATAAAAGATAAATCAAAAAAATAATCAATTTAAATTTCAGATTGCTTTAAAGTTTTTTGTCTGAATCAGTTCAAAACTGATTTAACTATTCATTTGCACCATCACTCAAAAATGTTCACAAAAGTCTCCATATGGCATTTTTTTTTATTATTATAAAATGTTGTAATAAAAATACATTTAAAGGTCGATATTACAGTACATTATTTTTATAAAAATAATTGAAAAGTCTTACTGATATTTTCAAATTGAAAAGCAAGTTGGAAAACATGCCTTGATTTACTGTATTTGACTTATTTCTACATTTTTAACTTTTGGCTGTTTTGCCAAAATAATTTTTATAGCATTAGATATTTTGAAAATGTTATTTTAATACATTTAAACTATTTTTATACTTACATATTACTACATATTTTGTGATTATGATGTTATTTTTACCATTTTAAAGCAACATGTATATTGAATATCATCAAACATCAGAATATTTTAATAATTGTATTATTACATTATATATATATATATATATATATATATATATTCTGTACACACAAACACCCCCAATATTTAACCACTGACTAGCCATTTAACATTACAGTATAATTGAGAGCTATCAATTTGAACATTTATTAGACTTTAAAAAATAACTTCTAATTTAAGTGAACTTAAAACAATCTTCACATAAACCCATTATAATAAATGCATATTTACCTGTGCCCTTCAGCAGAAATATACAGAAATTGAAATGATCAAACACTAAATTCTAAATAAAATATAGATGAATCCTTAAAACTATAAAAGTTATTTTTTCTTCTTTTTTTCCCCCTTTGTCCTTTGATTAATAGACATTACAGCAGCTAGTTATTAGGTTATTTTGGCTGTTATTTCTTTAAGAGCTGCCGCTGCTGAACGTGACGCGGATCTGACACGCATCATATTTTCTCTCAACTCTTTTTACCTTTTCTGACCCACTTCAGGCAGG